CTTGTTCAATTGTCTTTTCAATTTTGAAATGTTCTCCAGATGATTTTCTGATACTGGTTAAAAGACATGTTATATTTACAGTACATACGTACTAAATCCTAAATATGCCTAGTTTTTTCTAGCCCTTCAAATACTGTATTTTTTGTTTGATTGATTGGTTTTTTAATTAGTCTTTTAAGACACTAGACTTTTTTCATATTTTTATCAGAAACTGGCATCTCTGCGGTTTCTAGTGAACATCTAAAATTCAAAGGGATGTAGAAAACTCGTAAAGATAGTCTTTAACTTATTCTGGTTTTCTCATGATAATGATCACAGTTTTTCAGGTCTAATGCCAGCTTCATGGGTTTTTTCAGACTTTTGATTTATAGAAATCTGTACTTCAATGTGCTGTATGAGATTAAGCATTTTAAGATACCTGAAGAACAATTGCTTATAGTGGTTTAATACCTGACGATAGCCAACTTTTAGTGTGATTAAAAGTAAAATCGAATGTAATGATAATAGTTTTGTCCTTATTTATGCTGTAATATAGGGAAACTTAGTTGTTATTCCTTGCCTTTTAACTGAATATTCTAACATGGAAATTAAAAAGTATAAATATAGGGTTCTGTTTTTAAATGTTGCATATCTTGATTTAATAATGCTGAATGTATATATGGTGCACATTTTGATTGCAGACATGGTCATCAGAGAAATGGCATCTTCCTCAGGTCAGATATATGATTGACCTTGATTTCATTGTGGCTTTTTTTGTATTTACTGTGGATTACATCTCTAACAAACAGAACCACTCAGCATCTTTCATATAAACTCATGATTTAATAGTAGATCCCTCTCCACATCTCATTTTTCTTTTACTTGCTTGGAACATTAAGGTTTACCATTTCAGCTACTGAATTATGCAAAGCTTTCTTCATCAGTTTGAAGCTTCCATTGTGAATGCTCCTGACTATTATGATTTCTTTCCTTTTCTTTTGCAGGTTTTGCATTTTCACATAGTTGTTAGAAAGCAGGTGATCCTCTGTGCTCTCAGGTTCTTTATGTACTTTTTTATTTGTATTTCTTTTCACAGATGAAGATGATACTTCAGTTAGTACTCCACCAGAAGGTTAGGACTGTGGTAGTGCTTTGTGTGTGTATGTATGTATGTACTTTTCTCTTGACTATTAATGAAGAAAGAGTTCAAACCATTAGACTGAATTCAAAACATACTAATTAGAGAACAAGTTCCTTGAAGTGTTCTACATTAAATTGATCTCTGTTCAGAAGTACAAGACCTTCATACCAGATAAGTTCCTTTCAAGTCCTGTCTTGAGGTCTTTGGAAGAACTTCTGCCAAATAAAGGTAAAATATTGGTTCACAACTGTGAAAGCAACTCCTCTTATCTTTTTCTATCAACAAACATGGAATGTATTTTTCAGGTTAGTCTTGAGAGAAAATTCCAGATTTACAAATAAAACACATGCCTTATAACTTCAGAAAAGGTTTATCCACATAACTGTCTATCAACTCACCTTAGGCCATATGACCTACAAAGTAGTTTGAACACACTGCTCCAAGCCATTGCTGCCAAGCTGGCAGGTAAAATGCCTTTGGTTGGTGGCAATAAAAGAAAAGCAACAGCACAGGGGTCCATCATGACCAATGTGACAGGCAGAATTTCTCCATTGCTTGCTTAATAAGATTTAAAAAAATAAACTGAATGAAACAGAGTTTTGAACACTAGAAAACACTTTGAAGTGTTTCAAATAAAAAATATGCTTTTAATTATTTTCACTGCCGTCAATTGTCACATTTTTCCTTATTCCTCCCAAAAGAATTTGCGTTATTAACTTTGGGCTGAATGCTATCTATCTGTAAAGTCAGTGGCAGTACATTACTTTACAGTACTAGAGTACCTGGTTGGTAAAAGCTAAATATATAAGTAACATTGTAAATCACAACCCCTTAAAATGCCATTTTAACTATTTATCATTATTTTGCTCAACCTAGATAAATAAATAAGCTATTTAAATAATTCAAAAGACTGTCCTCTCAGATAAACACTGAACAATATAAATTCGTCCATTTTCTGGAACTACACAAGTCATGAAAAAACATTAGCCTCATGGAACCCTTCTAAATATGAACTACTAACAAGGAAAACTTGAATGGGAATTAAACTAAACTAATTTACATTTTCTAGAGAAAAGGGGGAAAGATTTCTGAATTTTTTTCTTAGGTCTTCACTTCCTTTTTCTGATATTCAAGTAGTTCCTCATGGGTATGTTCCTAAATATCTAGTCTAATCTTCTTGCATGAAGAATTAATGTTCTTAAAATCCCAATGAAGTTAGTTAAGCAGTGATCTCTAGCTGGTGTCATCCAAATTGCGCTTCCCTTTCAGATGGGATGTCTAAGCCAGCAGAAAGAAAAGATTCAGGTGAGACCTCCTGAAAAACATGCTGAAGCACTCCAAAATTTACTAGTACAATTATTCTTAATACTTTAAATCTAAAAGTTAATATTTAATTTTATTTTCATTGTTTTATACAGTATCAAACTGTAACGGTGGAAATGCTTTTAAGTATCAGATCAAATAGTTTTCTAGCAGCTAAACCAGGAGTGAAAGACAGGTCTGCCATACAAGACAGGACATGAATCAGAATTTTACACATACATACATACCTATCTATCTATACTTAGTTCTATATAGATAGATATGCAGCTATTCCCTTCCTCCTTAGCCTACAGGGTGACAGTGGCTCACCTAAATCCCACACACAGGCCCCAGGAGACTGTAGGAGAACCGCTTCTTCTCACAGCTCAAAGGACGGTGGGGAAAACTTAGGAAAGACATAACCTCTTTCTTCCTACCCTGGCAGGTAACGCATACTACACCCACTTTTGTGGTTTCAGGATTTGCAGCCTTTGGAACAAAATGAGCAGCAGGTACTTCAACCATGGTTATTGACTTGGCATAGCCGCCTATGCCAGCCCCCTGGGCCAACGTCAAACCCACGTTTTGTTCTGTTTGTTTAATAAATAGGAAAATGTTAATATCTAAAGGTGATGATAATATTTAGGTGTTATTTTATGTGGTACCAAATTAATGACTCTATGTAAGCTTCTTCCTTTTATTAATATCCTTTTTCCATTTCACCCTGTGGCGTGTTAGGTTACTGCACGTGACCAGGTCCTGTACCGAGCATTGTCACCTCATTCTGTTCATACCAGTAACTATCACTTGTTCTTACATTGTTTCCATATACTACCATGTTGCACTGGCATAATCTGAACATATAGATTACAGACAGAGTATATATAGATGTGTATCTATATATATTTGTGTTCATGTATGTCTGTGTACATGTTTTCATATATGTGTATATACATGTGTGTATATACATGGATGTCTTTACCTGTAATATTGTACAAGCAAACATATACAGATGTGTTAAGGTACACCACCCATAATGCACTGAAAGATTGAAAGGCAGAGATTTCATAGCAAAGCAATCTAGCATTTCTATATCTTTTAAAAATTCCTAGTAGACTTTAGGATAATTAAAACAGTTTGATTGCATTTTCCCACTGTTGTCATGAGTTGTGTTGCATTCATGAGCAATAGAAATTTTCGTGAGTTAAAAAGATTCCCATAGCAGTAACCTCTACAATTCTGACTTCAGGAAAATGACTTTCTACAGAAAATACTGAGCCAGGAAAGGAACTTTTAATTTTAAGACCAGGGTTTGACTGAGGGATAAGTGTTGTGTGACTGGTTCCTCATTTATGCTAGTTTTGAAACTAAAACTAACAGAGCACTGGATAAACTATAAAAATATACATTCACATCTGAAACAACAAGAAGTTCCAGGGGAACAAGGGAGATGCTGCTCTGAGTTGAGAGAGACTGATGGCTTTGTTAATTATAGTTGCACATTTCCACATTTGCTCTGCTCTTCAGCACTACCATGGCTACACTGGCTTTACTCAGTTTCCTGTATGCATTGGTAATAACTTCTCAAAAAAAAAAGGAGATGTGGCATCTGGATTCCACAAATTCTCACTTGGAATATGAGACACATGCTTTGCCTCTCTGCAGAAAGGGAGCACGTAACAGACAGAAGTTTGCTGCCTTGCTTGCCCTGTCTTTTCTGTTAGGAATCAACTTTGGCCACAGTTTTGCATTATTTTGATTGAGATGTATCGCATAGCACAAAGCCAGGACTGTTCAGATGAGCAGAAAGACAGAAATGAACATCTGTGCTCAGACAATTCTCCACCCTGGGAAAACTGCTCACTTGCTGCTTCTCTCAGTACAATTGTTCCTTTTCAGTTCCAAAATCTCAATGTCCAGAAGAGAAAATGCTGTGTCTGAACATATGACACAATCATTTCCATCTGACAAACTTTTTCTGTAGAACATCAGCCAATGCACATGGCAGGACATGGTATTGACTGACCCCCCAACTCTCTGTTTCTACCATGGTAGAAAAGAACAAGGTTCAACAGTAAACTTCATCCCTGCCCTACTTTATGGACAAAGAATAAAAAATAGCTTGTACAATTGACTGAGTTTGGGTTTGAGAGAGACCCACTGACGCTATGCATCATATGTGGTTTTTTGTGCTTATAGCTGTTTGTGTTTTCAGAACCTCCATCTCTTCTGAAAAACAAAGAGCTGGCCTTTGTGCATTGCCTCTGTAAAGCACTCATGGTTGAATGCTGGTGCTATTCGAGTTGCTCAGTACCCACCGTGGCTGACGAGGTTCCCCTCTCTTCCTCCCTGATAGTTTCATTTTCTGTCACTACAGAAGTAGCATTCTTGCAGGAACTGTACACAATGTGACAGCCAAGCAAAGGATGTCAGTGTGAACAAAAACTTACATATCTTTCAGGACATCCAAAGAGAGAGGTAATAGGGTTAGAGAGCTTAGTAAGTTCAGGTAAGTGCATTTTAGAGGGAGTAAAACCCACTCAGATGATTGACATTTCCCTCTCTCTCTGCATCTTAGTATGGTCTATCGGAGAAGGAGCTCCAGAAGAATCAGAAAAACGTGATGATTCCCAAATGTCCACTCTATTCATCGAAAAACCTCAGAGTGGTTCAGTGAGCGTTGGTAAGTGCTTAGAAACAAAATAAAAAGGCATTCCCACCAAGACAGAGACTGAGGCAGAGCCAGGAAAGATACATGCAGTTCTTGTAACACTCTGGTTCTGCCCTCAGTTGCAACTGATTTTAGTTGGATGTGAACTCTACTCCTTGAAGACAAAAAGAACTGTATGAAGAGAAGCAAAACCCAATTGTTCAATTTAAGACGAGCTCACTATCTAATAGTTTGCTGGGCACAATGGGTAAGAGGTATAGCTTCTGGAGAAGAGAGTTGGTTACTGTAATGCTGTTGGCTGTCATTGATAGAAGGATCTACCCAAATGCCTGCAGCACAGCTTCGAGATTGCTGGGTCAACCTCTGTACCCTACAGCTGTGTGTAAATTAGCAAGTAAACTAATAGCAGCAGCTCTGCAGGGAAGCTGGTAGGGTTACCCCCACTGTAACCATTCTGGGGGATTTGCTCTGGGCTGGTTTAGTCCAGTGGTCTATATACCTATCACCAGCTGGAGCACAGGTGCTCCAGAGCATATCTGTGATTTTAATTTCACTCTAGAGGAATATAGTTCAAGCACTGTGAGGACTTTCTGTGTTGTGAACTAGAGCACAGTATACAGGGATTGTTAGGAGGTTCACGTCCAAACTGAGCCATACTATCATAGTAAAGTAGCTGCATCCTGAGCAGGATGAGTCCAATGGTTCAGTACAGGCTATCTATGTCTGTTGTGTACTTGTATTAAGATGTGGTCAGATTGGGGGGTGAGGGTGGGGTGTTCATGCATGCTTATTATTTTTATCAGTTTCTGAGTAGAAAATGATCATTTTGGGAGAATATAGTTAGAAAATAAATTTAAGGAGTTATTCTTCTCTGGAACCCGTGAGTGTTAGGATGGAAGCTCAGCAGGGACTGGGCAGTGGTGTTCTGAAAACTGAGCTCACTTTTACTGTTCCCAAATTATTGTTTAGAGAAGGCTCTTTCCC